TGACCTTAAAGAAAATGCTTTTGGTTTTCACCATTGAGAATGATGTTTACTGTGAATTTGTCATATGTGGCCTTTATTATGTTGGGCTTCCTGGGTGGTGCAGTGGTAAAGAATCCACCTGCCAATGCAGGAGACAGAAGAGACACAGGTTCAATCCCTAGGTCGGGAAGATCCCCTGGAGTAGGAAATGGCAACCCACTCTGGTATTCTTGCCTGGAAAATTCCATGGACAGAGGAGCTGGGTAGGCTGTAGTCCATGGGGTTGCAAAGAGTCAGATGTAAGTGAGCCCATCCTAAATATAAATGGGTGGGGGAGTTACCCTCTCTGCACCCTTTCTAGAGAGTTTTTTTCTTTTTTTAATAATCACAGGTATTGGATTTTGTCAAAAGCTTTTTCTTCATCTATTGAGATGGTCATAATGTTTTTTATTAGTCAGTTTGTTGAAGTGGTATATCACATTGATTGATTTGTGTATGTTGAGGAATCCTTGCATCCCTGGGATAAATCCCACTTGGTAGAATTTGCTTATGAAGCCATCTGGTTCTGGACTTTTGTTTCTTGGGAGCTTTTTAATCACAGTTGCAATTTTGGTACTTGTGATTGGTCTGTTCATATTTTCTGTTTCTTCCTGGTTCAGTCTCGGGACATGGTACCTTTCCAAGAGGTTGTCCATTTTATTGGCATATAGTTACTAGTAGTAGTCTCTTATGATCCTTTGTTTTTCTGTGATGTCAGTTGTAACTTCTTTTTCATTTATAATTTTATTGATTTGAGCCCATCTCCCACTTAATTGGGCAGCAGGCACAGGAAAAGATATTCAACATTGCTAATTATTAGAGAGATGCCAATTAAAACCACAATGATATATCATCTCACACTTGTCAGAATGGCTGTCTTCAAAAAGGTCACAAATAACAGATGCTGGTGAGGATGTGAGAAAAGGGAATCATTATACACCGTTAGTGAGAGTGTAAATTGGTGCCGCCACTGTCAAAAACAGTGTGGAATTTTCTCGTAAAACTAAAAGTGAGACTACCATATGATCCAGCAATTCCACTCTTGGATGTGTATTAAGAGACATAAAAATGCTTTAAGGTTGGCACTGTTATTCAGTCACTAAGTCACATCTGACTCTCTGCAACCACGTGGACTGCAGTATTCTGGGTTCCCTGTTGTTCACCATCTCACAGAGTTTGCTCAGATTCATGTCCATTGAGTCGATGTTGCTGTTTAACCATCTCATCCTCTGCCACCCTCTTCTTTTGCTTTCAATCTTTCCCAGCATCAGGGTCTTTTCTAATGAGTCGACTCTGCATCAGATGGCCAAAGTATTGGAGCTTCAGCATCAATCCTTCCAATGAATATTCAGGGTTGATTTCCTTTAGGATTAACTGGTTTGATCTTCTTGCAGGCCAAGAGACTCTCAAGAGTCTTCTGCAGCACCACAGTTTAAAAGCATCATTTCTTTGGCACCCAGCCTTCTTTATGGTCCAACACTCATATCTGTACACGACTATTGGAAAAACCATAACTGACTAGACAGACCTTTGTAGGCAGAGTGATGTCTTTGTTTTTTAATATGCTATCTAAGTTTGTTATAACTTTCCTTCCAAGAAGCAAGCATCTTTTAATTTCATGGCTGCAGTCACCATCTGCAGTGATTTTGGAGCCCAAGAAAATAAAATCTGTCACTGCTTCTACTTTTTCCTTTTCTGTTTGCCATGAAGTGATGGGACTGGATGCCATGATCTGTTTTTTGAATGTTGTTTTAAGCCAGCTTTTTCACTCTCCTCTTTCACCCTCATCAAGAGACTCTTTAGTTCCTCTTTGCTTTCTGCCATTAGTGTGATATCATCTGTGTATCTGAGATTGTTGATATTTATCTGGACAATCTTAATTCCAGTTTGTGATTCATCCAGCCTGGCATTTCACACGATGTACTCTGCATAGAAGTTAAATAAACAGGGTGACAGTATACAGCCTTTCTGTACTCATTTCTCAATTTGGAACCAGCCCATTGTTCCATATAAGGTTCTAACTGTTGCTTCTTGACCTGAATACAGGTTTCTCAGGAGACAGTTAGGTGGTCTGGTATTCCTATCCCTTTAAGAATTTTTCACAGTTGTGATCCTACACAGCCAAAGGCTTTATCGTAGTCAATGAAGCAAAAGTTAGATTTTTTTGGGGGGGGGAATTCTCATGTTTTCTCTATGATCCAGTGAATATTGGCAATTTGATCTCTCGTCCTTCTGCCTTTTCTAAACCCAGCTTTAGAAATGGGTACATCTGGAAGTTCTCAGTTCATGTACTGCTGAAGCCTGGCTTGAAGGATTTTGAGCATAAGCTTACTAGTATGTGAAATAAACATAGTTGTCTGGTAGTTTGAACATTCTTTGACACTGCCCTTCTTTGGAATTGGAATGAAAACTAACATTTTCCAGTCCTATGGCCACTGCTGAGTTTTCCAAATTCACTGGCATATTGAGTGCAGCATTTTAACAGCAGCATCTTTTAGGATTTGAAATAGCTCCACTGGAATTTCATCACCTCCACTAGCTTGGTTTGCAATAATGCTTCCTATTTCCACTTCACTTCACACTACAGGATGTCTTGCTCTAGGTTAGTGACCACACCATCATGGTTACCCAGGTCATTAAGAGCTTTTTTGTACAGTTCTTCTGTGTATTCTTGACACCTCTTCTTAATCTCTTCTGCTTCTGTTAGGTCCTTACTGTTCCTGTTCTTTATCATGCCCATCCTTGTATGAAATGTTCCTTTGATAATTCCAATTTTTTTTGATGAGCTCTCTAGTCTATCCCATTCTATTGTCTTCCTGTTCTTTGCCCTGTTAACTCCCTTGGAATAGCTGAAGAAACTGAGGCTTCCAGAGGTTATGTCTATCAGCTGGTAAACAGCTTAGCTGGAATTTGAACTAGACTTAACTAGTTCAAATAGTTAATAGTTAACTAGGCTTACTTTTAACTACCACATTACATCTCCTTCTTTCAAGAGAAAATTCTATGCTTTAACCCTTTTCTCTATAAAATTTTATTTGGCTATTCATTAATAATTTATATATCTATAAAACTTCTTAATTGTTTGTGGGAAAATGTGTGAGGAAGTTATAGACTTTGAAATGGTTTGGAGGTATGAATGAGTTAAATGTATCCTTTTTATGCCATGTGTGTATATATAAAATTACACAACTTTAGGGCTGCATAGGGACTTCTGGAATGACTGTGGTGTTTGACGAGCCTTATTTTACATATGAGAAAACTGACCTGAAAGAGGTTAGGTGGTTGCCTGCAGCTTTGTCCTTTCATTTCTCTGGTCTCTGCTACTGACTACTGTGTGATGTTAGGCAAATCCTTAAATGATCCTGATCTCAGTTTTCTTGTGGGTAAAAACACTTTTGGATGAACCCCCAAAAGTCTTTCTATATGATAGTCTGTGTTTTTATCATTCTTTCACTTACCTTTTCAAATATTGTTTGGGTGAAATACTTGTATAAGCTGTAAATGAGGTGGGTAGTGGGTTCAGGAGTAAAAAGCTTGATCCAGAGGTTCTGATTATAAGACATGGGAGTAAGAATCTGCTCCCTCTTTAGCTTTTAGATTTTCCTAATAGTTGATTTCTTATTTGGCTTCTTCAGGACCTCAGATCACCTATTGGTTCTCATAATCTAAGCTTGTCCATTTACCTCATATTTGTCTGTGATTCCTCTAAGCAATATATTCTATCTTAATATAATACTATGTGTTTATTGTAAAAAAAAAAGAAAAAGAAAAAACAAGAAAGTACTCATGAGCACGGGGTAGAAAATAAGCCATATGTAATCCCAGGATCCAAAGATGATTAGTTTAATAATTTGAGACACATTTTATTTTTTAGGATTTGATGAATTATTGTGGGTGGTGAGAGAGAAGTATAAAGCAGAGATGCCCTTGGTTTGGGAAACCAGGTAGATAGTGGTCTCATTCAGTGAGATAGAGATTTTGAAGCCTAGTAGACTTGTATGGGAAGGCGATGTATTCAGGATAGAGTACAGTTAGTTTGAGGTGTCTTTAAGGTACCTAAATTGAAGTACCAGTTAGTAAATTGATTTCTATAAATTAAGCTCCAGAAATAGAGTTTTTAAAAAAAAAAAAAAATAGAGTTTTAACTTCGGGATTAGGATTGAGGAGTCATCAGCATATAGATGAGCACAGCTATGATATCATATAACAGCACCTATTGTAAATTGCAACACCCCGCCCCCAGCCACAACTCCATGGAGGGCAGTGTATTGTGGACTGTTGTGCTGTCTGACCTGTATTCATAGCTTAATTTGGAAAGAATCATGTTCTATGTTTATAACACAATGACTACATTATACAAATGGTTTCTGTTTTCCTGTGGAGATTTCTGTAAAGGACTTTTTAAAAGGTCCAAGCTTTAAACTTCAGAACTTCCTAAGCATATCCAGCATTTGACTGCTTGCTCTTTTCCTTAGAATGACAGCTTCTGTCATCACCCCCAGTTGGACTATTCTTCTGGCATCACAGTCGTCATGCCTTGCTTATAGAAACTGAACAAAAGTACCTCACTAGCAGCATGATTGGGTCCCTCGCATAGCTTTTCCTCTGGCCTGTGATCGGAGCAGTTCTCCCAAATGCAAATTCTGTTTCTTAATGAAGCTATGCCTGTGGGAAGTGTTCCACTGGATGGGTGTACGTGATTTTTAGAAAGAGGAAACAGAAAATGCTGTTGGCATGCAGTGCCTTACTAAAAGAAAAGTACCAAGACCATCGCCTAATTTCTTAATACCTATAAGGCTCAGTATTCCATCTGTAAATTGAGAATCATAATAGTATCTTCTAAGGGATCACTTGACGATGAAATGAGTTAAGGTATATAAAGTGCTCAAAACTGTGCCTGGCATCAGAATATGATTCAGGATTGTCCCTTTAAGTCTTATATTGATTTTAAATGAACTTTAAATAACTTTATTCTTATGTAGAAGACTTAACCAGTGGATCATATGATGACAGCCTAAATGCTGAACAAGTTCAGAAGCTCCTTTACCTGCTTGAATCAACTGAGGATCCTGTCATTATCGAACGAGCTTTGGTCACTCTGGGTAACAGTGCAGCCTTTTCAGCCAACCAAGTGAGTACCCTAGTCTCCGTAAACATGCTCCTCCCATTCTCACACACCGGCAGTAGTTGTGACTCTGATAAGTTACTTAACCTCCCAGAGCCTCAGTTTTTTCATCTATATATACTGTGGTTATGGATATCTACAAAATAATGTTTGTTTACTTCTAAAAAGCATAGCCTAATAGTAATACGATTAGTAATCAGATTGTATGTATCTATGAAGTTGGTCACCAGCATCACGTTTGTAATAAGTGTATCTAATCAACACTTAGTATTATTGCATGGCCTTTCTAATTATTCAAAACTCAGCAGTGCTGCAGTAGAGCAACAGAAGCATCTGACATTTAAGTGCATGCTTGACATTGTGCAAAAGGCTGACAAGGATGGTTCTGAAGCAGGTGCTCCCTGGACCGCACTCTGACAGCCATGGGCCAGTGTAAATGTAAATGGCTTCTGCTTCCCCCCAGCTTCCCATGGAGAAAGAGTAAAACAGTGTTTGTCATTATTTTCAGCTAATGCCCTTTGTTAACCTTGTCATGAATGCAGAATTTTGAATTTATACTTCATTTCAGTCCATCTTTATCCATGTCAAGGTTAGCTCTAGAGATTTATAGGGAGATATAAGGAATATGTGTGTATTATGTACATTTCCGTTATAAGTGACAGACCCCAACTTAGGTTATTTTAAAATGAAAGGGAAAAATACTGAGCTCAGTTAACTTGGATGTCCAAGGATAGCTTTGGTTTCAGACAGAAGTGTGAATAGAGATCAAAGTTACAGAAAGCATTATCAGACCTCTCTCTCTCTTTCACTGTCATTTGACTGCTTGCCCCTACTTCTTTTTGTGTAACGATTTTTGTCTCTCTGGCCACAAAGAGGTTTTCTTCACAGAGATGAAAAGAAAGCCACTGGCCTCTCAAGCTTTCATCTTTGACCCTCATGATCTAAAAGGTGGAGTTACTCTACTAGTATCAAGTGCCAACCCTTTGGCCCAATTGTTGGGCTGACCTGGGCCATGATTAGCAGGTCCTGGCTCACCCACAGACAGAAACAGCAGGGAGGGTGTGAACACAGTTGACCAGCAGTCTCACCAGGAACTGTGTGGGGTGGAGGAGGTACTGTGTCTGTCCCAGGAGAAAGAGGGCTGCCAGGCAGACAAAAATAACAGATGGTGACTAGCTTATTAGCATGCCTGTATGGAGGGTATTTCTGATGCCATAGTTTTATATTCCTTTGAAACAAACTGTAGTCAGAGTGGGTGAGAAGCCACTGGTGAACAAGCAGTTTCTTGGGTAATAGGAGTTGGTGGCCCTTGTCATCAGTAATGGTGCCGTCATCTGCTTTTATAGTACAGTTTTTTGTTTTTTGTTTGTTTTTTTAAGACCGTCTCCTAGTAACCACAAGTCCTTAGGAGGAACCTGAAATTGCAGAGGGAAGCTCCTTTATCTCTTTTCTTGATAGAACAGCATGTTTTGACCTGACAGGAGTCATTTTCAGCTTATTTGTGTTGTAGTTGGTTGTGAGAAATCCCCAGATTATTTTTTCTTTGAAAATTTGGACATCGTTTCCAAACTGTGTGGAACTTCAATTCTTCAGGATGTTAATAAGTGTTCCTCCCCTCCCACAATTGAAAAATGATCTTCTTTTTGGATAAAGTTTATAGAAGTACAATATTCAATACTCCCCTCTTGGAGATTCCAATCACATGACCATAGGATTGCATTACAGTAAAGAGACATATTTACTCTTGTTATAACCAGAGTTTCTCAAACTTACTTATCTATGAAACCTACTTTTTTAAATGAGACTTTTGGTTGCACCTGGTCTTCGTTGCTGCATGTGGGTTTTCTCTGCTATGAACACGGGCTTTTCATCGCAGTGGCTTCTCTTGTGAAGTGCAGGCTCTAGGTGCACGGACATCAGTAGTTGTAGCGTGCGGTGTAGTTGCTCCATGGCATGTGGAATCTTCCCGGACCAGGGATTGAACCTGTGACCCCCCTCATTGGCAGGTGGACTCTTCACTGTACCACCAGAGAAGTCCCAAAAATCCTTTTTAAAAATGGAACATCTGTTTACATCTTGAGGAATTAGTGTTCCAAAGTATTCATCTCAGCAAAACACTAGTTTTGATCTAAATCTTAATGCATTTGCAAATTGCCCTGTGAGAGAGATAACTTATTTCAAAGTAAAATTATTTTGTTTGTAAATTACTTTGAGATCACTGCAGTAGCTCTACAAATCTTCATTGTATATCTCTGCTATAGTTTAAATATTACATATATTAATAATTTATTTTCAGTTTCTTTAGCTGTAAAATTATGTGTAATAAACTTTAAAAAAAAAATAAGAATTAGAGGTTGTATATGGGAACATTATTTCCGAAGAATCATTAATTTTTATTTGTATTTGTAGATGCAAAGAATGTAATAAAGGAGAGGTTGAATATTTGAAGTCATGGTTCTGTTTTTTTCCTCCTAGATCGTTATTCGTGAATTGGGTGGTATTCCAATCATTGGAAGCAAAATCAACAATCCAAATCAGAGTATTAAAGAGAAAGCTTTAAATGCACTGAATAACCTGAGTGTGAATGTTGAAAATCAAATCAAGATAAAGGTAAGTTACCTGAAATTACAAAAGATAAGGTTTTCTAATAAATGAGAGAGGAAAAAAAGGTAAGTAATGAAATTTTAGTAGACCATACTTTATAGCTTTTAGCCAAGAATTTATTATAATAAAGCCAGATTTATTATTTCTGGCTTTATTGAGATAGAATCAACATAAACATTGTATAAGTTTAAGGTATAAAACATGATTTGATACATGTATATATTGCAAAATGATTACCCCTACCACATAGCCTTGGGCTTGCAGGTGGTACTAGTGATAAACAACCTTCCTGCCAATGCAGGTAGACGTAACAAACGCAAGTTCAGTCCCTAGGTTGGAAAGATCCCCTGGAGGATGGCACAGCAGCCCTCTTCAGCATTCTTCCCTGGAGGAGCCCATTAACAGAGGAACCTGCTGGTCTATGGCCCATAGAGTGACAAAGAGTTGGGCATGACTGAAGCGACTTAGTATGCATGCACTGTACAGCCGTAGCTGTCACCTCTGACACCTCATAATTACCTGTGCATGTGCACGTGTGGTGAGAACCTTTGAGACCTCCTCTCTCAGCATACAAGTATACAATATAGTATTGTGACGTATAGTTATCTTGCTATACATTAGACCCCAGAACATATTGATTTTATAACTTTTAAGTTTATATACTTTGATCAGAATCTCCCCTTTTCCTTCACCTGAACATGCTACTCTCTGTTCTATGAGTTTGACTTTTTCATATTCCACATATAAGATTTTTGTCTTCTCTGACTTATTTCACTTAGCATAATGCCCTCAGTCCATCCATTTTTCACAAATAGCAGAATTTCCTTCCTTTTTTATAGTGAATACTATTCCATTGTATATACAGTTTACATTTCCTTTATCCATTTGTCCATTTATTGACATTTAGGCTATTTCTATGTTTTGGCTATTGTGACCCATGTTGCAATGAACATGAGAGTACAGATACTGCTTTGAGATAATGATTTTGTTTCCTTTGGATCTATACCCAAAAGTGGGATGCTGGACCATATGACAGTTCTATTTTTAATTTTTTGAAGAATACCCATACTGGTTTCCATAGTGGCTGCACTAACCACCAACAGTACACAAGGGTTCCTTTTTCGCTTCTTTCAATACTTATTACTTCTTGACTTTTTGATAATAACCATTAAGTGTGAGGTGATATTTCACTGTGGTTTTGATTTGCATTTCCCTGATGATTAGTGATGTTGACCATCTTTTCATAAACCTATTGACTATTTGTATGTCTTTGGGAAAATGTCTATTCAGGTCTTCTGCTCATTTTTTTATGCAGAATAAGAGGAGGAAGGCACCTGAACCAGCCAATAAGAAATACAGTGGACTTTTGAATTTGATGTTCAGTTTAATCAAAGTGTGAAAAAGGAACCAGGCCAAAGTCAGATAATATCAGCAGAAAGATACAATAAGTTAGGAAATAACATTAATTCAACTTTTATTGAGTTCGTGCTTTGTATTGTAGAGTTTAGAAATGAACATGATTAACTCTTGTAAGAAAGCTAGAAAGAGGGATAAGGCAAGTCCAAAAAGAATTGTAATTCAGGGCAGAACATGATGAAATACTTTAAGGGAAAATGCAAGTAAAATATTGTTGAATACACAGAAAGCAGAGTTTTCATTCAGAAGTTTCTGTAAAAGGTAGAGCCTGAGGTGGCTCATAAAACTGTCCAAGGTTTCTACAGCTGGAGTTGAGGAATGAGGGAATCCCAAGAGAAAGGAACAAGGTGAGGTAGGCAAACTCCAGGAATAACTGAGATGGCCTGTTTGGTAATCTTCTTGCTAGAACTGAAGTGAAGATAAGATTCAGAGGCAATAAGGATGTAAATGCTCAGCACATTTTAGGAAATGCTTGGAAGGATAGGAGCATCCTATGAAAATATGTGATTTATAATAAGCTAAGGAAATGCCATTTTTTAAAGGATGGGTACATGATGAAATTGTGACCCAAGACAGATTGATTTGTAAATATAATTTGGATTTTGAAACCAGATTAAAAATTTAATCTGTTTTACTTACACAATTTGCTTTACTGCCATCATTTTCATTTCTGTGGTAACATGAATACATTTGGAAATTTTTTAAAGTTAGTACTGGCTTATGGGACAGTTGGTAATTCCTTAGCATTTTATATTAGGGAATTTTTCTTACCAATTAGAACTTTTGATGAAGTTCAAACTTAGGTGAATACCAATTACTTGTGAGACATAATTTTTTCAAGCTGGAAGGCTCGTGGCCAGGCATAGAAAATAGAGTTTCAGAAAATTTTCTGTCTCCCTTGGTTTAGTCTAGATCTATCATGTGTGACATGGACATACGACTAGCATTGCATTACTTTTAGCCAGTGGTGGTTTACAGTATTATAAAGGAGTAATTCATCTACATATACGTCATAAATAACAACCTTGGACCAAATAGAGTTTGCCTCTGCTTACTCATAAAAGAAAGCGCTCTGAAGAAAAGCTCTATTTAGTGTCCCCCTCCAGTTCTTTACTTCTAACATGATGTGCCCCTAGATCCTACAGTTCAGGTACGGACTATGGTACAAAATGTCCCCCAGATCTTCCTCCTTACCTTGACATGCCCAGACACAGGAAGGTAGACAGAATTGGGAGGCTCCCAACAAGTGAGAGGCCCCCCACTGGTGCTGAGAGCCTGGTCTCCGGGTCTGGACATTGCTCTACTCTCTTATTACATTGGGCGGAGAATCCGAGCTTCTTGAAGGGGTTTACAGTCCTTGTCTATAAAATGACCATAATACCACTGTCTCATTAGTTGTCTTAGGACTGAAGTGAGTATATCTATAAAATGCTCAGTGCCTGCTATTAATTAGGGAACTTACAAAAAGTTACCCAAGTTTGAGATCTTGATAGAAATGCCATCTTTCTTAAAGAGTCAGCTTCATCCTAAACAATCACCTGATTCCACTGTGCAAGAGTTATGGTTTAATAGGAAAGTTTTGGAGATTCTAAGAAGATCCCCTTTTCCCCATCTTCAGGTATACGTCAGTCAAGTCTGTGAGGATGTCATCTCTGGCCCCCTGAACTCTGCTGTGCAACTGGCTGGACTGAGGTTGTTAACAAACATGACAGTGACCAATGACCACCAGGACATGCTTAGCAGTTATATTACAGACCTGTTCCACGTGTTGGTCACAGGAAATGGAAGCACCAAGGTATGAAGGAAATGGTGATTATTTGCAGTACAAACAGCTATTGCATCCATGTTATTAAGATTGAAATTCATTTTACAGGTCACCTGTCTTAAGTTGATGTTCCTCAAAAAGAGAGAAAGTTTAAAATTTATTATTAAAAACCATTCACGGGCCCAAGAAAGTATATTATTTTTATATCCTAACACTGAATTTCAAAATTAACTTATGAAAATGGTCTGTTGTTTCTCATATCAAAAGAATGATATTCAGTTGGTTTTATGAAAATCAATTTCCTCTTTACAGAAGGAGCTAGTGTTGACTGCACCAGATACAGGACTATTGTGATAAAAGGAGAGTTTGAGTGACGGTGCTGGCAATCTCAACCTCCTGATTTATCCCTCCCTCTTACCATTCCCCTTTGGTTGCCATAAGTTTGTTTTCTAAGTCTGTGGGTGTGTTTCTGTTTGGAAAAGAGTGTATTTTTATAAATGTTAGTTTCCATCTTTCCGTGATGTACACGGTTTGTGTTTCTCTATCTGATGTACTTCTCTTAGTATGATCATCTCCAGGTCCATCCCTATTGCTGCAATTGACATTCATTCTTTTCTTATTGCTGAGTAATAGTCCATTGTATATATCTACCACATCTTTTTTATCCGCCTGTCAATGGACATCTTGGTTGCTTGCACATCCTGACTGTTGTAAATACAGCTGCAGTGAAGGTTAGGTACATGTCTCTTTTCAATTTATGGTTTTCTCTGGGCACAGGCCCATGAGTGGGGTTGTGTAATCATTTGGTAGCTTTTTTTTTTCAGTTACTTAAGGAACCTCCATACTGTTCTCTATAGTGGTTGTTACCAATTTAAGTTCCAGTAACAGCCTGAGAGGGTTCCCTTTGCTCCATGTCCTACCCAGCATGTATTCAGTATAGACTTGTTGATAATGGTCATTCTGGCTGGTGCAAGGTAACACCTACTTGTAGTTTAGATTTGCATTTCAGTACTAATAAGTGATGTTGAGCATCTTTTCATGTGCTTTTTTCTTTAAAACTGTGTGTAAAATTTACTTCTTTGCATTGGCTTCTTGAAAGTCTACCCTTTTATGAATTCTCCTTCAATTACCACACCATTTGTTCAGGGCAGATATCATTTATAGCCCTAAAGGCCTTGGGAATATAATATGCCTATAAGCATTAGTTTTTAAGCTATAGATATGGGAAATGACCACAACATGTCAGAAGTTCTTCATGCTCAACTCCATTATACTGGGGCAGCAAAGCCTTCCTGATAAACATCTTCCACAGTTGTAAACAAGAGAGGCATGTGCCAGGAAAACAACCAAGCCCTTGTGTCTCTTTAATTCTGTCTGTTACCCTTCATCACCCAGATAAAGCCCAGCCTCTACAAGAGCTCTGTGGAGGGCACTGTCTTCCGTTAAATGGGAGGATCCTAAGTAGGAATGCTGGGGGTGGAAACCCGACCACCAGGAGTCTAGGAGAACAGATGTGTTCTAAGAGCCCTACCAGTCCAGAGGGTTCACTGTGCTTTGGGTGAAGTATGTTTGGTTTGGCTGTGGGAGGTCTGACCTGGCTCTGGACTCTGTGGTTCCACCCAGAGGGGACCAGGCACCGCAGGTCCAAGGGGAGCTCATTTGCTGGCACCTCCTTCCCAGCTCCAGCAGCCCCTTAACAGTCCACATTTGGGGACCAAGGCTGCCTGGGCTTCAGGAATGTGAACCAGCCTAGGAACCTGAAGCCAGAGAGGAATATAGTCGGCATTCTTCTTTTTTTTTTTCCTTTTAATTTTTAGATACTATTGGATTATAGCTGATTTGCACTGCTGTGTTTAAGTGTTTAGTCACTTGATCCAGTTATATGTAGACATACCTGTGTGTTTGGGGTTATTTTCCCATGTAGGTTATTACTGTGTCAAGTCGAAGTCCCTGTGCTGTTGGTTAGCATGTATTGCTATTGGTTGATTACCTGTTTCATTTCTGTCAGTGGGTATGTGTTAATTCCAGCCTCCTAATGGATCCCTGCCTTCTGCCTTTCTCCTTTGGTTAGAATAAGTTTGTTTTCTAAATCTGTAATTGTGTTTCTGTTTGGAAAAATGTACTTCATTGCTCTCAGTTTTTAGATTCCACCAATCAGTCACATCTTAGTGTATTTGTCTTTCTGTCTATGACTTACTTCATATGATCATTTCCAAGTCCATTTATGCTGCTGCAGATGCCATGCCATGTCTTCCTTCTGTTCTCTGGCTGAGTAATATTCCCTTCCATAAAATATACCACATCTTCTTGACCCATCTGTCTGTGGATATTTTAATTACTTCCATATCCAAGCTACTGGTCAGAGTGTGTGTTTCTGTTCCAAGTATGGATTTCTCTGGATGTAGGGCAAGGAGTGGGATTTCTAGTTCGTATAATAGCTCTATTTTTACTTTCTGAAGGAACTGCCGTCATCTCCATAGTGGCAGTTACCACTTTAAAGTCCAGGCAACAGCTTAGCAGGATTCCATGTCTCTAATTTTTTTCCACTGATTTATGTTTTTAGATTTTTAATGATGGGTGTTCTTTTTGCAGCCAAGTGAAACCTCATTGTGCTGTGATAAATTTCACTACTATAACCAATGTTTAGCATCTTTCCTTGTGCTGCTTTTCTTAAATCACTATGAGTGAAGTTTACTTCTATGAGGTGGCTTCCTGAAACGCTGACTTTAGTGAATTCTCTCTCAGTTACATACCCTAGGACATTTGTCAAGGGCAGGTATCTTTTGAAAGTGAAGCGCCCTTAGGCAGTGGTTTTCCCATTGTAGTTTCAAGAAGCGACCACAAGGAGGCAGGATTTCCTCAGGCTCCACAGGGCTTGCTAGGATAAACATAGCCTTGGTGAAAGTGTTGCTTCTGACTTATAAATGAGAGCCCCATGTGGCAGAACAAACAGCCAAGGCCTGGTGTCCCATTACATCCTCCACATTATTATTCACCCCATTGGAGACATCCCAAACCTGCAAAAGCTTGCTGGTGTGCTGTGTTCCAAATTAGAGTGACCCTAAGGAAGGAGGGTGGAGGTGGGAACCTCAGTAGCAGGAGACCTGCAGACCAGACACCTCCTTCACAGGTTTGGGTCTTGAGGGTCCACCATCCCACCATCCTTGACTGTACTTGCCTAGGTTTAGCTGTGAGTGGTCCTGCCTTGTCCCTGACCTTGTCATCCTGTTCACTGGGGACTGGGTGACTACAAGTCCAAGGGTCCTGTAGTGTCATTTACTGGCACATGCTTCAGCAGCTCCCTCAGCCCCGCGATAGTCCAAGCTTGGGAACCAAGGCAGCTCAGGCTCCGGAAATGTGAAACAGCCTGGGCACCTGAAGCTTGAGGGGAGTAGAGTAGGCATTTCATTTTCTTTTTAAATTACTTTCTAGGTCATATTGGAGTACAGTTGACATACATGTGGTGTTTGAAGTGTAGAACTGGATGCTTGAGTTTAATGTAGATATGCCTGTACTCGTTTTCAGATGCTTTTTTCATGTAAGTTATTACTGTGTTGACTCTGGCTCCCTGTGCTTTACAAGAGGCCCTTGTTGATTATCTGTTTGATTTGTATGAGTGGGTATGTGTTTATTTGAGACTCCAGTACATCCTTGCTTCAGTCTTTCTGTTTCATTTAGGATAGTTTGTTTTCTAAATCTGTGTGTTTCTGTTTATATTGAAGTATAGTTGATTTACGCTGTGATGTTTCTTTGAAGTGTACAGCTGGATGATTGAAGTTTTTTTTTAGTATATATAGTTTATTGAAGTATAGTTGACTTATAGCTATATGGTTTCAGGGGTACCACAAGGTGATTCAGTTATACATATGCATATATTATTTTTCAGATTATTTTCCAATCTAGTTTATTATAAGGTATTGACTATAGTTCTAAGTGCTATACCTTTGTAAACCTCTGTTGCTTGTTACGTATCTTTTTAACTAGAAATCTAGCATTTTATTCAATGAAGTAAGTGGAATCAAAATGTCATAAATTTTTTAGTTTGGCAAAATTTCACAAGTTTTCTAAAATATATATCTATATATATATACACATACTATATACATACTATATACATATATATATATATATACACATACTATATACATACTATATACACATATATATATATATACACATACTATATATATATATAATACAAAAGCTTTTCCACTACACTTGATAAAGGCTTGAGAAAGAACATCCAAAAAAAAGGGATGGAGAAATTGGAAAATATAAACTAAATGAAATAGCACTGAATATGAAATAGTAAAAGTAAAACAAACTAGATAAAAGTAAAAGATCATCATATAGTCGAGTTGATTTTAGACGTGGCTGCTCATTAGAAACATATTTGGAACTTTGGAGGAAAAAAAGAATACCTGGATGTTTATATTTTTCAAAAAATTTCAAGGTAATTCTGATATGAATCTGGATTAAAAAAGTGATGAGAGGTTTTTTATTAACTGGTAATCTTGGTGATACAGAATTGTAGTATTTTTCTGTTGACCGATCATGATACAGTGGTGCCAAGTTGCTTCAGTCGTTTCCAACTGTTTGTGACCCTGTGGACCATAGCCTGCCAGGCTGCTCTGTCCATGGGGTTCTCCAGACAAGAATACTGGAATGGGTTCCCATGCCTTCCTCCAGGGGATCTTCCTGACCCAGGGATTGAACCTGTGTCTCATGTCTTCTGCATTGGCAAGTGGGTTGTTCATGACTAATGCCACCTGGAAAGCCCAATACAATGGTGTTAAGTGAGTAATTGTTACATAATCACATTAGTGAAAAATGTTTTTCACAAAAGATAAAGGATAATTACAGACAAAAAATAAAAGATAATTATAATTTAAAACCATAATGGGAACATGATTAACCTAACAATATAAAATAATTACATACAATGTGGCATCAGGCACAGTGATGTGGTAAGTGGAAGTACATACATGTACATGTTTTCATCCACCCAGCCAGTTTGTGTCTTTTGGTTG